CACATTTTTGACCTTCTCAATTCTGTTGTTTTTGTAAGCAGCTTAGCATCGGCGCTTTTCGATTCAGCCAGTATGCTTCTTGTATGTTCGTTGGCCTTTACATTAGGGCACGGTTAAGCCGAAGCTCTATTTCTGTTTTTAAAAATTTAATGAAACGTTTTTGCCAATGTCGTTTCATTCAGTATACATAATATTGCCTTGGCCGCGTAATGATATCATACGATTGTTAAACATTTTTACTTCCTCTATTCATTGGCAGCACTCTACATGCCGGATATCCCAATGTCGAACAATGAAGTCATGGCGATGTTCATGTGTTGGCAATATTCATCCTGTAATCGAAATAATCCGCTCACATTGTATTTTCTCTCAATCGCCAAACACTTTATCAACTGTGTACAAAGTACAAAACTTCGGTAAAATATAAAAAATGTAATTTAAAAAACGACAAAAAATTAAGTTTATTGAACAATAAAACAAATCCTATAAGGCCTAATCGCCACAATCTAAACTTATCACAAACAAGCACTTGGACCCTAGCTGTGCACTTGTGACAATATGGATATAACTACTTTATAATTACATCAGAAGTTTCCTTATACTTAATTCACTTTTTAATTTATTGTAAATAATTTATTTTAATTTTAGTTTTTTTAACTTCACTAAAATATATATAGCAAGGATGTTATATAACCTGATATTACCTATCGGTAGACTAGTTTCCTCCTTGCTAATTAGCAGTCTGGAGCATTGGCAATCGATATGACTGTTACTTACATTGTAATTCTACATGATTTTCCAGAATACAGAAACATCTTTCAGTTTCCCAGTCTAAACCGAATTAAGGGAATAAAGTAGTTAATCCTAGTAGGAAGTCGCTTTTCCATATTTTAATCAATCGTTATCCGCATTTTGTACTTTTTTAACCTCTGGATTTAATTATGAACATAATTTGATTAATATATTGGAAAATTATTGAAAGTAACTACCAATGATTGAAATATAATATTATAATTAATGATGATAACATGACAATAAATTATGATAAGAACACTATTAAGTAATAACTAGACTTTGATATGTCTGTTAAAGAGCAGATCATGGCCATATGCAATGTAGTTATTCGTTTTTCGGAGTATAATTTATCCAGCTTATAATAATGATAATACTGATTACGGCAATGGTGATAACGATAGTTATCATCATACATGTGCATAATGCAAATGAGCTTCATTTATTACTCTGGAAATTCGATCGAACATTATATTGAGGGCAAACCCAGCTCCCTATGGGATTGGCTTATTGCTTTATGTTGCTGGTAATAATCAGTGCACTGCAGGCCACTGGGTACCATGAAGGGAGTGCCTTGACCAAGGTTACACTCTCCGATATACACTATCTTTGAAGACAAGATTAAAATGAGGGCACTGATTTGATTTATATATTTAGAAATTGGAGCAATTTTATCAATTTCTGTTAAATCAGTTTTTACTTTACAATAATAATTGTTGTGGTAAGATATGCTAACTTAAAAGAAATATATAATTCAACAAAATAAAGTTATACCTGCAGGGAGACCATTCCTGAAATTGACCAAGAAGACGGAATAAGAAATTTAAAAACATTGTATATAGAGGCACTGCAATAAAATGAAGGTAACCGAAAGTATTTTTTTTATATAATATTAAAATTTAAAAAATGGAAATTAAGATAAAATTATGAAATTTCAGGATTCTGTCTAATGCAAACCAGCTGTTTGTCGGAAATAAATTCTTCTTTAAAAGAACGTTTATTTTATGAAATTTGGTTGAGTATTAGTGAAGTTATTTAATTCATTGAATATCATATCAGAAATTTAGTTAAAATGCATTATAAAATAGCTATAAACTTTATATAATATATAAACATTGATCTTTAAAAAAGATATTTAAAGTCTAACAGTAGTATTCTAGCATCGACATCAGATATTGAGCTAATTAGTCCCAAGCTTTCAGAAATGTGAAGTTTGCCCAGTATAATCAAGAAGTAGAAAAAAAGGAATACAAGTACATTGTTAACGGAACCAATTGGCGAATAGTTCTTTGAAAATCGACTTGAAGGCGCCACTTAATGCTAAAGATCATTGTTATGAAGTACATTGGAGAATTAATTTAAGTTCGTTTTTAACTTGAAGGATTTCTTTCAATAACATTTTGAGGAGGTGTGTCTATACTATTGTTGCACTTATCTTAGATTAAAATAGTATTTACTAAACTAAAGAAATATGGTCACAGTATATGTGGTTGGCTTACTAAATTGCGGTGCGGTTGATTTTGTTTGATGAGTTTATCCCGGTTTATTTAACAAGGTCATGGCGGTGTTCTTTTTCTTTTTTTATCTGACGTACTGTAAAAAATTTGTTATTCGTTATTGGTTCACGTTGGACTGGTAAACCTGAAAGTAATTGTAGGCCTAGTGTAGTATAAATACATACATGGTTAAGTGGATAGTCGCAAATCATTAGGTACTGAAGTTTTATTTTAAGGTAAAGTTGTTATTTTGTAATTAACAGTTAATATCACATCATTTTCGCCTTATTTTAGCTTAATAATCACTTTTAACCAATTTTACGGTCTATCTCCCAGTGGTGGTGCTAAGTGGAAAAGGGATACAATCGATGCGAGGTTTTGTGTTGGCCAGAGGCACCAATGTTCCTCCCCATAGTCGGGGGGGGGGGGGGGGGGGGGGCTGTAGGAAGAAGTCCTGAAGAGGGGTCCGGGATGGGGGTCACAAACACTGCTCCATTTCCACAACTTTTGGCACTTTGTATTGATTTGAGGTACATGAAACTTAGAAATGTCCCGGACACTCACTGGCACCACTATTGCCAGGTCCATCCAGAGAAGTGGGTATCTGGTAAGTTCAAACAACATTGTGCTGTTAACCTAAACATTAGTGAATTCTCCCTAATGTGATATGTAGGCTATGTGTTCCATAGTTGTTTAATCCAATGACTGCATGTGAGCCACATCCAGGCCTTGTTCCCGTGATGAGCAACAATTAAACAGTTATAATGTGTACGTTATCTATCTAATATTTTCCAGTATTAGTTCTATACTTATATAAATATATTCGGGTGTTTATTCAATTTATTCATTTGTTTCTTCTTTTCTTTATTGGTTTATTGATTGATTAATTAGTCAATTCACTAATTGATTCCTGTTGATTCTATTTTATTTAAAGAAGTTAATTTGGAATAACCCCTCATATTAAAAGCAGAAACTTACCATAATGCCGTAGAGGGCAGCATGTGCCAGACAAGACAGTGGATATAGACATATTTCACATGCCTATTATCATTATTACATGTCTGAAAGTTTATCACCTTTCTTAAAACAAAACGTCGTTTGTAAGCCAACGAATATTCGGTTGGTCGGGGTGGGGTGCATAATTTCATTTGTCGTCCGTAAGCATTCGATATTTTAGCATCCCTTTCCTTTTCATAGTTATTACGCTGATTAAAATTGCATGTCAAAAGTAAACGTACCTGTAACAAGGCCATATTTCGCATAGGTATGGACAGGTGTGGACATTCCCATGAAGAAGACCACTGCGTGGTCGAAAGCTTGTGATTAAATATATTTGTTAGTCTGAAAAGTGCTGTTTGTCCGTCATTAGGTGTGGACTAACTCGACAACTTTGCAATGTTTAAATGCTGGCTCTTATACACATCTAGATGTGTATAAGAGACAGATAATGTGGGGTGGGAGTGGTTCTTTGTTCTAGGCTTGTGGTTGCTAATTGATAAAAAAAAAAAAACCCTTCATCAATATCTTTGGATATGATATTTGGAAGCCCTATATAATTCTTATCCAGGTTCATGTTGGTCCCTTCCCCTGAGTTTGGTTGGTGATGCACCCCTGTAGTTACGCCACACTGGGGCAGATGCAGGGGGTGTGGATGGTGTGATTGTACCCACCTAAATTCTATTAAGAAAAATTATTATTGTATTATATTGTTGATATGAATTACCGGTAAGATTTTTAAGGTAAGAGAGTGCAATTTCCGGGCACCTGAAGTCCATAATCTCAAACTGTTCTCACCTCGTCCCAATCCCTACCGTCAGATCCTGCATCCGCCCCATCATCCATATAAGAAGATCTATTAAACGGTATAGACATAATATAACAGTCGAGTGGTTCTTCTTAAAAGCATATTGGTACATTTATAATGTCATTTTCATTGAGACTTTCCAAATGTTTGGAACCATACCATTCATTAATGATTTATTTATAATGGAACATAGAGCATTCGAGTTATAGCGTGATGCAAGTCTTATTTTATGGGCTATCGAAAATTATGAACTATTTTCAGATAAACGTGCCAGATTCTCTTTAATATCGCCAGATAGAAGTGTCGTAAAAATTAGTGCGTGAATACAATTTGGGTTTTTCCATTCTGATTTGTCTTCTTTAATTGACTTTTGAATTTCTATTCCATTACTAAAATAATTGCTAAAATCTTCACAATGAAGATTTGGATGAATATTGTTTGAATTTTTGTTTATTTTTTCACCATACAAACGTTTGTGATCGTGTTTATATCTGTTTTCAACTGATAAAAAATAATCTGATTTGGATTTTCAAATTTACTCTTGCATTTGTTTTAAGTGAATGATTAATAAAAGGTTTTGTAAGATAAGTTTTTTACACGCTCACAGATATATTCATAATCTAATGACATCAGGTGTGATCCATTTTATTTTATTTAGCTTAATAATTAAATAAAACTAATATACAAGATACTTGTTAACATTATTCATTGGTTAATCTGATAAATCATCAATTCAATAAAATATCAAATGTGCTTTTTCTGTAAGAAGTAGAAATGCTTATTATTATGGTCAGTCCAGCCAAATAGCCGGCTCTTCAGAGAGGCCATCTGAGAACATCCAAAAATTAAAATTTAAAAAAAAATTGTTGTCAGAATATTATAAAAATCGGAATACTAACTGCTCTAATACTAACCCATCGGTTGTATACATCTTAGTTGACAATTTACATGTGTCAGGGGCCTGACTGTAATCTTGAACCAGGGCCCCTCACAATCCAGTTACGCCGCTGTCCTAAGCGCGCACTCGGCCATTCGACTCTCCACATCAATCAATTATCGAACCCTTTTGTTTTGAGTTTCTGCTTCATTGCATCATTTAATTTTGCAAACCTTGTTGTGATTGGTTTGTATGCAAGATCTGCTCTGGGGAATTTTTCAACTTATTGTGGAGAAAAACGCTATACACGCAACAAGTAACTAGTAAAACAGCTTTTTGATTTTCATAATTGTTTAAAATATTTATTGCATTAATCTGTATAATAAAAATGACAAGATGAACGTTGTATATACATATATAAAAGAACCTTATATACAATAATTTATAAAGATAACTGTTATTAGCTTAACAATATACTCAGATTTTGTATATAGTTCCGAAAATTGGTGTTCTTGTTACAAATAGAGTCGTTTTTAAGAATAATATTAGCCATCTATTGTATAACAGGAATATTATATATATATACATATGTATATATATATATATATATATAACAATAACATACTGGAAAAAATGCTAATAGCTGTATGAATAAATAATATATAAATAAAGTAAATTAATTAACATCACACTTACATCATACGACGTCGTTATTACGTAGTTTATAATTTGTGTACGGAATAATACTAAAACAAGATATTTTAATTTTTTTTTAAATACTGTCTTTATTTTCAGGATTGGAAGGTGACCGACCATCTTATTACCAATCAACTCCACATTACATTTTGTAATTTGACTTTAAATAATTGATATAGTCGTTAATATGTTTGAATCCTACTAACGTGACCATCAAATGAATGCATGGTCCCAGCATTTTAATGGTTTATTTTAATTTAAGCCTCCCGTATGATCGATGTATGAACGTACAGACGGCGTACGGAAAACACTCATACATACAGGGATGTCGTACCAATTAATTTAATGTTGCCACACTGCTGAGGGTTACAGTCGAGTACGGGCGAACCAAGTTAGGATTCGTTTCCGCCAATGTCTCCGTGGATTTTCTAATCTTTTCATTTGTTTGCTTGATTGCCTTGGAACGACCATTGCCCCAGGCTATAGCCATCATAATTATAAAGAAAAGAAACACTCCGCACAATATTCCGAAAATCGCCAGTGCGTCGAACATGATTGATGATGATGATCCTTCTTTAACAGTAACGGTCTGCGTGCAATTACGTGACGTCTTTAACGCCAAGCTTTGTATTTCACACGAATATTGTACATCGGTATCAGAAAGTTCAGCTAAGCGATCTAACACAAGAACATTTGCCTCATTTGTTCGTGACAACTCGACTCCGTTTCGCACCCAACGGAGAGTGGGAGGTGGAAAACCTCCACCTGAGTTACACGTTAGTTGAAAAGAGTCTCCGACACTGATACTGGGTGAAGAAGATGATATATCACATGTTGGGAAACCGTCATATGGTGGAATTACAATACTAACCGACTTGATTAAATGTTCTACTTGTTTCTGTGGTCCATATTTACATTCCCATATTCCCGTGTCCTCGGGTTTGATGTATTTTATTTGTAGATCGTAATGCCCATTTGCATCGTCACTCTGGACGCTATATCTATTCCTGTGGTCTGGGTCAGAAGCAGAAAGAATATCATTGATGCTTACGTTCTCTTCATTATGATTCCATACTACCAAATCATTGCCTTGGTTCTCTTTAGTGCATCTGATCGACTCTGTAGCCCCGAGACTCGTTATTCGCAGTTCCATTTGACCAGAAAACAGTTCCTCTGCCAGTGTTAGGTAAGGTAAGTAAAGTATCATTAAGGTAACGAATACATTAACCATACTCATGATGTTAATGCCTACTGTACTAAGTTTATCTTTTGTATAAGGTTTGCACACGACACTCCTGTGGATCGGTTGTTCAACTTTTGTACTTGCTAGCATGGTTTTATAGGCTTACACTCCGAGAACGACAAATGCTCTGAAACGCTACAACAATTATCTTATTGTTTTATAAGCGGATGTTAACGAGTCACGAATGTTAATTAATTGAAAAATATTTCCTGGATCCTGGATTAGAGAACCAATATTGACCCTCTGTTGACAATAGTACCGTTGATGTCTCGTTGGCGCAACTCGATCCGGTATTCGTAAAACGAACTTTGGTGGTAGATCGAACTAAAAAATAAAGATATCTTTATTTTGTTATCTTGAAACTTACCTCAACTGGTACTATGACTAAATCGAAGGCATGGGCCGACGTCTGTCAGGCGCATTGAGTGCCGGGCTTTAGAGTCAGACTACATCGTCGACTTGAATTTTGTTCTCGTTATTTTATTTAAAGTGGTTAAATGTTATTTGAAATGTTTATTTTTATGTTCAATTGTTATTAGTAATGTTTTTGAATTGTATTGCCGATATTTTTTAAAATTTGAAATTGAACCTTTTTATAGTAGTTAAGTGTTATTGAAATGGGTTTTTTTATGTGCAATTATTATTAGTAATGTAGTTTGAATTGTATTGCTAAATTGTTTTTTTTTTTTCTTTTGAATTTTGTAACCTAACATATTTAATAGTAGTTAAGTGTTAATTGAAATGTCTATTTTTATGTGCAATTAGTTTAAAATATATATATATTTAAATTATAATTTTTGTAAAAATAATGATGATGTGAATTGTAGTAATAATAATAATTATAATAATTTACTGTATAGGATTTGATATTGTATAGTTTTTGTAATTAATCATCTCAATTTATTTTATTATGCTATGATGATTGAATTCATATACCAATTTTAAGTGATTTATGTGAGGTTTTTGTCCATTAACTTTTCAGTTATAAAGTATAGTTTTGTAATACATATGAAGTTAATAATTGCATTATTATATTTATAGTTTTCAATACCAAAGCATATGCTTTATTTATAAAAGTTAATTTTCTTCTGAACCTTTGTTCTATAACAACTTGTATTGTAATTGTTTCCACAGATTATTATTTACTTGGCATTCAACAGACATGTGTATTAAAGTTCTTCTAAGCAAAATTCATAAACTGGTGATTCAACAATATATATCTTATGTAGAAAAGAGTATAATACTGTGAATAAATCTAAACTGAACATTTTTAAGTTTTGTACTTATTGTGCATTTATGTAAAGTTGTGAAAATCATATCCCATTGTAATTTAGTATTGTCATGTTCTTTTTTCCATCTTGACTTGATCCTATGACTATAGGCCCACTAATACCAATAGTAGTAGCTACAGTGGACCTAATTGGAACTAGCCTACCTTTAGCCTACTCAAGCTAGTATTATAGCAACCTTGCAGCACTTGCTAGGACCTAGCCTAGGTCTAGCTAGTATAGTATATAATAGAGACCTAGTCTAGTAATTGGCTAGGCTTAGCTAGACCGTTCAAAACTGTATCTAATCTTTTGACTGCCAGCGTCCGGCCCCGAGGTATTTAAGTTAATAAATGTCTTTAAAGTTAATAAATTTCCTTTGAATTGAAAAAGAAATTCTGATGTCTTTTGAATTGAATTAAACTTACCAAAATTCAAATAAAAAGGCTTAGGCTAGCATAACAGCATTTTTGGTCATAGGCGGCCTGGGCCCTAGTACAATTAAATGATACCTAGGCTAGGCCCTAAGTAATGCTATATTATTGCACTAAAATCGTTAATTTGGAACAGCAAAGTTTTAATTGTTTTTTTAATTGTGGTTTTAAAATATCTTAAAATGTATTATTTGGGATTTTCCATTTTATACGAAGAAATAAAATTCACTACACTCATTAAAACTGAAAAAATAGTGCGTGTGTGATCAGTACACTTTCTGACCATGGAGGAAATACTCGTCATAAATTGAGTTTCTTTTCACAATCTGAAACGCGTTTACGACCCCAAAGTCTGCGCATCCATAAAAACAACGTAAGTTTGGGCACAGCTGCTCAGGGTTGGCACGGCGGGTTTATGAAAGAGCCAAATACATAGGCGCTCCGCTGCGGTCAATGTGGGTCTCAGTGTCGACAAAGCAACATAATATGCATTTACATTTAATGTGCAAGTATAAGCTGAGAATTAGGACTAGTGGGAAATCTATCTCTAAGACTAAAGTTTTTTTTAAGAAGACGGGCGTAAACGTCATCGAATTCAGCATTTTCATTGTGTTCAAATAACTTCTCTACTTCTTTAATAATTATTGGTGAGAAAATTATTTCCCTATAACTGTTTAACTTATCAATTTCTAAGAAAGTAAGTTAGCAGATTGTAGGCCTATATTGATGTACCGATACGTTTTGAATTTCGTTAAGCAGATTAATTAGTACACTACTGGTATTTTGGTTAAGTTCGGACGAGTCGAGCGGCCGTGTGGTAAGGCAGGGGCGCCGCTCTGATAAGGATTTAAAATGGAGGTCCATTGTATACATCTGGCTCGTATGCACTTTTAAGAACCCATTGCATTTCTTCGGAAAAGTAGGGGGTTACCCCGATGTTAAGGTTCAATTCAGCCCCTTTCGTTGTGGAATTATGTGAATATGTAGCTATCATGAAGCGCCTCTTTATGACTGTTAGGTAGTCACGGACCACGCCCATACGCAATTCAGCACAATGACGCTGCAAGGTAAGAGTGTTCTCCTATCATTTACCTTTACCTTTTAAGTTTAGTAGCTCCACATGTCTACTAATAATTGTATACAA